ACCAGTGCGACTACTAGTATTATGCAGCACGGAAATCTGATTTGGGCCATTAACTAAGCACACAGCTGAGAAACCCTACATATGTGGGGAGTGTGGGTACAGAACAGCTCACACGTCTCACATATGAGAAACCATATAAAAGAAAAACCCTACAAGTTTGACCAGTGTAGCTATTCCAGCCTCGAAGTTTGCCCTATTATATGATTAGATTAGTAGCACATATACTTTGTTCTAGTATCAATTATTTTGACCCCCCCCAAAAAAAAAATCTTTTTAAGCTAACTAGAATTGAAATGTCATAATAATAAACGTTGTAGTGTTGACTGAATAATATACTTTTACATAATCAGTAATTAAGATCAGTAAGTGATTGTACACAGTAGTTGTAGCTGAAAGGTAGATATTAGTGCTGTGTTTGCACACAAAAGTTAGAATGTATACGTTAGTGTTGAGTGTGTACGGGTTTAGATTTCCTGTGTTTTTACTAGTAGTTCCTGTCACGAAGTGTTTGCCTATATTTCCTGAAAACACAATTATATATTGTGACTGATATCAACTCTTTAAACTACTAGGATAATTGTTATAATAAAACCCAAAACCTATACTATTGATTTGCATCTGTTTAAAATGACAGTCATGCTTTAGTTTCTAATAGTAGAAAATGTCCGTCTTGTTTTGCATTTCTTTTTGAAGATTTATCTACGTACATATATTTTCTGCTAACACTATTAAATCGGTATGTACCTTGAACATAATGTTTCCTTCTGTGTTGTCTTTTTTCTTAGATGGAATATTGTCAGAGGTGGTGAGCTGATCATAAAACACAAAAGTCAAGATTCAGATCGATATCAAATAGTTATGTTTACCGAAGAAAAGGTTCTTCTTTCGTTCCAAACACCTAAAAAAACGTCGATATTTTCGTAATTAGAGTCTGGAGGAAAATGACATTCAGCATGCTGGTAGGTTGGTACGTTAGACATTGAACCGCGGTCATTTTGGCCAACATAGATGTCCAAAAATGATTTATTTGCAAAAAAATAGGTTAAAAAAGTTGCATTTTAAGCCAAAAATTGAACAAAAAGAACGCGTTTGGAACATTAGAACATTCGAATGCCGTGTTTCCACAACCGCCGGTCAATGACCCCAGCGCTACGGAACACCCGAGATTTCCAAATATGGGCATCCGCCCCCAAATATGGGCATCCGCCCTCGTATGACGCGAAAAGTGATCGATGGACCAATGTCAGTGGTAAGTTTTCCGTTTCTTTTGTAAAATACGGCCATAGGAATACCAGACTCGAGTAGAGAATAATGCATTGGGGTTTTGAGGTCAATATCCACAAGTAGGACTGCAGATTTCCAGAACGCCGGCGACTTTGTTTATGTAACGTTAACTTTTTGCATGTCACCGCCGGCTCAAATCAAGGACGTTCTATATTGATTGAACGTCCTTGCTCAAATTAAAAAAAAAAAAACTCAAAATATACTAGCTCCTGACTTGATAGAATCTCGTACGTATAATGATTTAGGCTTGTTGCCGTCGGAAAATAAAGTAAACAGAATTTTGACGGTCACTATTTTTGTTCATCCGTAACTATTGTCGACTTTGTAATGTAGGTGCGGGGCCCCGGGAGGCGTTTGTTTACGTTTATGACTCATGATATAACATTGATATAACATTACATTTTTTCGTTTTGTCAGACAATTTCTATCTTTTTTGGGATAATACAGAAAAGTTCATGGGATAAGCATCAGATGGGATTCATCGGGATATCCCGCGAGATTTTTCAGGATTTATCTGATTTGGGCAGACATCAAGCAATACACTCCGGTAAGAAACCTTTCATGTGTGGGGAGTGTGAGTACAGGGCAACTCAAGTCTTCCTTAGCATATCATATGGGAACCCATACAGGAGAAAAACCATACAAATGTGACCAGTGTAACTCTACTGCAGCAAAGAAATCCCACTTGTACCTTCATCTAGTAAACCATACTGGTGATAATCCCTACATGTGTGGTGGCTATTCTGTGTAGCTATTCTGTAGTCTCGAAGTCTGCCCTAAATCGACATATGAAAATTCACACGGACGCACCAACTCTGCAACTGTGACCATGGCTGTGACGCTCCCCTCACTATAGTTTTACTATCTGGATGCCAAGTATATATAACCGTAATGGTCAAAAGGTATACCATAGACGTATACTGTATTTTATCGACAACATCTCTAATCACTGTATCTTCTCTTCCCTTTGGCAGTTCAGTCTATAGTAGACTATTGTCTACTGTAATCACTGTATAACTATGGAATTATTCTTAGTCAACCTTTAAATGTCAATTAGTTTGAACATTACACCGTCATCTTTCTTTACATATCTAGAATTGTAGTTTTAGAGCAGTAACCTTGATGGTATTGATGGGATAATGAACATACACAGTAAATATCATTGGTAAGTGATTGTACAAAGTATAGTAGTTGAAACGTATAGGTGTGAACTTTTCATTTTTGTCTTCGTTTCATTTGGGTCCAGTTTGTACAAATGAAGCCATTGAAGGAGCTTCGATTTCCTGTTAATAGTTCACATTGTCTAAGTGTGCCCCTGTATGCCTTACAGACACAGTAATATCCTTTGACTAATTTAGCTCAGTAAACTAGCGTTTGGCTTGTAGTAAAATCTTAACATTGATTTGTATCAGTGTAAAATACCTGACGTGCTTCAGTTTCGAACAGCAGGAAGTAATTTTACTGTTGTAAAACGTAGATGTTATGTTGTATACGAGTAAAAGTGCCCGTTTGTTTTGTAGGTGTTTTTTTCGAAGATGTACCTACACAGATATTTTCCGCTAACACAATCGTTATGTACCTTGAACATAATATTTCCTTTGCCTTTTTTCCTTGGATGGAATGTTGTCCGAGGTGGTGAGTTGATCATGCAACACAGAAATCAAGATTCACACCGAACAGTTTGGATTGACATTCATTCACTAAAATCTCTTGTTCATATCAGATCTATAAGATCATAAAAGTCGGACGTTTGTTACGTTGTTAAGGTAGTCGGTTTTAAACGGAGATCGTTGATATTATGATGAAAGCGCAACGTGCTACCTGACGTCAAATGTAACGTTACTGCATGGGTAATCAGGCACAGAACTCCACCTTTGACCCATATCATGGTCACCTCTCTGATCTTACGAGACGACGGAGGACAAAGCTGCCCGAGTTTCGGTTACGTTCAGAGAAAAACCATCATAAGAAGCAGGTAAGACTTCGAAACGGGAGCAAAGTATTCTTATGACGAGAGAAATAGTTTACGACCATTTGTGTGGAATAAAGAACTCTTTAAGACTATTATTTGTATACATTTTTGCTATGTTATATATTGGAAATAAAGGGGGGGGGGATTTCGCGAAACCTAACATATGTTCGACCCTTGCCATCTCTAATGTACGTCAACTTGCATAAGACAAAATGGTCTATTTGGAGGGCGTTGAATAATATAGAAGTATAGGATTGGATTGTTGGCTAGGTTTTGAAGAAACGCATAGGAAACGCAATAGGACCATAAATTGTAGACATTTTCGCAATGTTATATGATTTATATGTTGGCAGTAAAGGGGGAGGGGGGCGAAACCTAACATATGTTCGACCCTTGCCAGTTTGTATGTCAATTTTGTATCAGGCAAAGTGGCTTTTTGGGGGCTTTTTTGGGAACAATATAAAAATGTTAACTGGATTGTAAAGAATCACATAAGGCGTACATTACAAAATCTAGAAAAGCGTAGAACTGTCAACAGTGTATTAAGCACCTAGAGACTATGTCAAGCGACAGAAATAGACGTTAAACTAGGAATTCAACAACAAATACAACTATAAGACTATAGAATGGTGACCAAACCTATACGGCAAAGTCTCTTTCAAACAAAGCGAATGGAGTCAATTTACCCATTGTTTGTAGTCGTAGAAGTAATAAATAATATAAAATGTTTTAAATACGCTCAGTGATGTGAACGAGTGATTGTAAGATGTCAGAAATTATGATTTTCAACATTATAGAACAAATTTATTCAATTGCGAGAAATACAACACCATAGAATTACTATGTATGGTGGGCTGCATTGTTATGCAAAAAATTGAAATAGTTGTAAAGCTCAAGGTCTCGGACCGAAGTTTCCTTCCGTATTTCGAGCAATTTGACACCCTCAGCCCGACGGGCTGTCTTTTCTGTACTAAACGCGGGTCGGAATTTTTCACTCTTTTGGTGGAAAGTGGTGTCGTGCCGCTTATTAATACACTTAATTGATATTTTCTGCGCCCAATTTATTTAGGGGTAAATAAGGCACATCAAAGTACATTTTTAAATAAGGGGTAATTTTTTTCCTAATTTTTAACCATGGCTGCATGGAAAAAAACGAATTTTCCCAGGGTAACGGCTTAGTACTCGAAGAAGCTCAGAACCTAATTTTTCCAAAATTTGAATTTAATTAAAATCGATGCGATAAGTTTATCGCTATCTTCGATGGCCCGAACACACCCAATACGCATATATAACGTACCATCCCGGCGGTCAGGCGAAAAGGCCACATAACCATCCGCGCGGATTAATATCAGGAAGTCTTCGCTGGACCACCAACATTACGCCACCTATAAAAGCTACAACTAACAGGCTTTTCAGAAAATACAAAGATATGTACACAGATATTACGATTTCAGGGATATCGCGGCTAAAACATTCCATACAAAGTCATGTTTCCGGCGATTTGCTGCGCACTTACTTAGACTCTGGTCAGATTTAAACTCCGACCCGGAACCTCAAGTTGAAGTTATAACTCTTTAAACCTTGTTTTCAATAAACCCAATTTCATCATTGACAGCTTTTAATGCTTAATATTTAAAACTTCTTAATTTTCTTTTTTTTTTTCATCAGACTGAACATGGAAACCACAGGACACGGGTCTCCCAACGGAGTTGGTCAAAACTGCTGTGATAAGTCTCCCACCGGGGTTTCCCAGGTCGACTGTGACAGCAAAACAGTCAATGATGAAGACCAGGTGGCAGCACGAAAAGTCAACTTGAATAATGCCGGTGAGAAACCCTATATGTGTTGGGAGTGTGGGTACAGGGCGGCTTACAAGTATCTGTTATCCATACATACTAGAACCCATACAGGTGAAAAACCCTACAAGTGTGACCAGTGTGAATATTCTGCTGCACAGAAATCCACCTTGGACAATCATCTCACAAAACACACGGGTGAGAAACCCTACAAGTGTGGGAAGT